TCCATACTACTGTCATCCCTGAAGCAGGGGTAGTTTATCTCTCATCTGAAAAAGAAATATTAGAACACAAAAAACACAAAAAAATGCCCACTTTCGCTTGTCAATCTTTTTCCAATTGGGCAAAACATAACTGCATTGACAGACGGTGTTTGGCATCAGGGCGGAGGCTGTAGCAAAATACAGACTTAACAAAATGTATGTTTCTAATTTTATACTTCCCTAAATGTGAGTTTACAAACCAAGTTGTCCTTCAACCAACGACAGCTCACTGCGGTTGGACTGTGTCGCTGTCAGGACAAACAGCAGAGGCAGGAACTCCCAATATCTTCAGCGAGGTATTTCATCTCCGAGTACTTTCAGCAGAGTACTTTTCTCAGAGTACTCATCCCAGAGTACTCTCACTTTTACACCTGTTCAATAAAGCTTGTTATCTTTGAATCTCTAGTACTTACACCGTATGCTGTTGACAAAAAATAATTATTCCATGATCACATTAAAACATTACAGACACATTTGTTATTCCATGATTCCGTTCAGCATTCCTCATTTCACACATCACACTCATATCACAGTCATATCACAGTCACATCACAGTCACATCACAGGCCGATTTCCCACGTTAGTATTTTGGTCCAGTTTGTTAAGGTCAGCGTAGTGTACTTTGACATGACACACAAACATATAACATGCACAAAACATATAACACACACAAACATATAACAACACAGAAGGCCTGTACTTTTAACTTTGTTATATTTTTCCATGTCCAATTCCAATTGTCTCATGAGCTATTTCTTATTGTTGCAACTTTCAGAGCCTGTAGAGCTTTAAAAGAGTTTTCCTAAAAGGATCCATTTCCAACTTTAGTGTTTACCACGTGGTCTATACTTCGGGCTTATCACAGATTGTGTCCCCTATATCTCTAATGAGCTCTTGTCACCTAAAAAAAATGTTTATTTTCCTTATTTTTTTTCTTTTTCAATAAAGCCAGGTCGGATTCATTAAAAATGTAAATTAGTCTCAAACTTTAATACTTCACCTTTGTTTCACGATAAAATGTTTTTGTTGCTCATTAAGTAGCACAGATAGTGGTGCCTATCTCAATAAACGTACTCCGTTAGCCTATCTTCCCTACACTGCATGAATTTTCAAACTCCAAGTTATTGTCTGGGACCGACCGGAGAGAGCAGCTTAGGTCGTTCGCGTGGTTGACCTCCAAATTTTGTGCGGGCGTAACTCTATTCACTTGTTGTGGCTAATAACTTAGCAATCTCAGGGTTTGGTGTCAATTTCCAGTGGTAGTTAACTTTTGGGGCCGGTGCCTCCTTGTGCTCCATGTTTCACCGGCATGGTGAAACATGGAGCATTTGCTAGCTCACTAGCGTGTACCACCCGTAGGCCGCTTGGTGTTGAGAGCAGATTTAAATTGAGTCTGCACATAAGGTCTCGGCCTAGTAGATTAACCGGGCACAATGGGGAATATAGAAAAGAATGTTTAAGCTGGTTGCCCTGAGAATCAAAACACGTTAGCGGTGACGTAAATTGCTCTTTAGTCGTCTCTCCCCCCCCGCTGCTAATGAGAATGTGAAACGGCCACTCATTTTAGGGGAGACAGAAAGGCTGTCGCTTTTAGCACAGAATTTGTTGCCCCGGAGTCATCCAGAATTTTAACTTGTACACCACAGATTGTTAGCGTATATTACGGGCATGAATTATCTCTAAAAAGTGCCAATTGCAATTTGTTCTTGTTCAAACTTACATGAGCGGTCGCTTTGGTGACGAATGTGAACCCAGGTTTGGTCAGTCGCTCGTGTTTCCTCCACGCCCGCCTCTGCCGTCCTCTGGCCCCGTGTTAGCTTGAGCGTTCCTCTGCCTTTAACGCCTCCTCCGGTAACAGTCCTTCGACCCATGTCGAGCACACAGTCTTTCCGCCGGGCTGTGGAAGTTTTTCAAAGTCCGCAGGAGGCCCAGGTAGCCCAGAGCGTTAGCATGTGGTCCATGAGGGTTGGTGAATGACCCAAACGTGCCGGTACTTTTGGCTTCTTCTGTTTGCGGTGCGGGGGCAACTTTCAAGCGGGTTTCCGCGGGTGCGTTTGGTATATCACGCTGCCCCCTCCGTGGAGAACAGTCACGGGATTTGGAGCAGTTTCTCTCTGTGCTCCAGAGCAGTTGTCGGTGTCTCACATATTTGCTTCCCCCGTTTCTTCTTCTGTGGTTTCCTGAGCGTGTGTCTGTTTCCGCCTCTTCTTCTTCTGCGGTTTGGGCCCACTTCTCGCGGGGTCTCAGCTGGTGCGGGCGCCGCCTGTGGTTGGGGCGTGGGGCTGGTGCTTTGAGGCAGAGGACAGTGCGCGGAGGAAAGGCGCCGACAGTGATAAGGGAGAGGTGAGGGTAGTCTGCTCATTTTTTTAAAAAACCCAACGCCTTGTTTGGGGGGTTAGTAGGGGAAAAAATGGGCGGTAGGGTGGGGGTGGGGGGGTGTGGGGTGTGGGGGATGTGTGTGTGTGTCCGCCTCTGTGTTCTCCGCTTCGGTGAAAGGCGGAGGAGCTATTGTTTTTACATATTTCTTTCTCTAACCTCTTTTGCCGTGATATTCTTAAAACCAAGTATATTTTTTCTTCCCTTCTTCTTCTAAATTATCACGCAAGATGCGTAATGGCCTGCACCATAGGCAAGCACTCCATAGCTTGCATCTCCTAGATTGATTTTTACCCATTTTCTCGTACGAACAATGGGCCTAACCCGCTTAGTCTCTCCCTGCTCCTACCCACTTTGGGGCGCTCCGTTCCCCCCCCCGCTGGTTCAACCAGCGAGCGCGCGTTCTTGAAAACGGAGCGGTTCTGGCTGAAGACACTTGGAGATTCCAGGGTCGCTTACAATGCGATACTAACGCGCAGCCGCTAGTTTCAATCTAGAACAAAAAGCCCCCAAAAAATCCCGCACACAGACTATGCTGTGGCAATGAATGAAATACCCCAAAAATACATAAATAAACAAATCCCCGTGTACACTTAAGTGCTGCCCTGGGCTCGTTACGCAGATGAAAAGACAAGACTCACCAGATTAGGTTCTTTTTGGTCTTGTGTGGCAAAAGGATTCCTTCCGTGCGCGGACGAGCGCGCTCTCCTTTGTCTCCAAAAAGGAACAGAGGCTGGTGATCCAGGTCGGCCAAACAAAGCCGCTCGTCCCCGCCGAAAGTATCCCATGCCAAGACATGTCAGCAACGCCAAATTGTTATAGAAATATATACCCCATGAAGGAGAAAACTCAAAGGTCCTTTGTCTGATCAAAAGCGTAAGTTTATTGTTAACGCACAGTGCGGAGAGTCAGCATATGCACACAAAGGCAGCATGCTCAGCTCTGGGGGCCAGAGCCCCCAGCTTCCTGTATACAAGACACACACCAAAGATAGTCACGCCCACAACGGAGCGGAGGGGGCCACCGGTGAGGAGGCGCACAGGAAGCGCCGGCGCCATCCCCTGTGGTGGCAGTGGCATGGGGTGTGAACAGACAGACAATGGTGGAAATGCAGGTCATACAGATGCAAGACGGAAAGACACAAGGGTGTGACAGACAGCAGGGACCTTCACAAAGCTCAGCATGGCGTCAGAAGGTCGTCTGCATTGATAAAAGGCCTTTGACGTCCGTGTATTTGCTGCGGCTGGTTTTATGTAATTACTCCAAAAACTGTCACCACAGGAGCCACTCCTTCGTTGCCCGGGCGGTGTGTTTGGGATCATTGTCATGCTGGAAGACCCAGCCACATTTCATCTTCAAAGCTCTCACTGATGGAAGGAGGTTTTGGCTCAAAATCTCACGATACATGGCCCCATTCATTTTTTCCTTAACACGGATCAGTCGTCCTGTCCCCTTAGCAGAAAAACAGCCCCAAAGCATGACGTTTCCACCCCCATGCTTCACAGTAGGTATGGTGTTCTTGGGATGCAACTCAGTATTGAGTTGAGTTTATACCAAACAGTTCTACTTTGGTTTCATCTGACCACATGACATTCTCCCAATCCCCTGCTGTATCATCCATGTGCTCTCTGGCAAACTTCAGATGGGCCTGGACATGCACCGTTTTCATGATCATTTTGACCCCACGGGATGAGATCTTGCGTGGAGCCCCAGATCGAGGGAGATTATCAGTGGTCTTCCTTTTTCTGATAATTGCTCCCACATTTGATCTGTTCACACCAAGCTGCTTGCCTATTGTAGATTCACTCTTCCCAGTCTGGTGCAGGTCTACAATTCTTTTCCTGGTGTCCTTCGACAGCTCTTTGGTCTTGGCCATAGTGGAGTTTGGAGTCTGACTGTTTAAGGCTGTGGACAGGTGTGTTTTATAGATAACGAGTTCAAACAGGTGCCATTAATAAAGGTAACGAGTGGAGGACAGAAGATCTTAAAGAAGAAGTTACAGGTCTGTGAGAGCCAGAGATCTTCCCTGTTTGAAGTGACCAATTACTTATTTTCCACCATAATTTACAAATAAATTGTTTAAAAATCCTACAATGTGAATTCCTGAATTCACAGTTGAAGTGTACCTATGATGAAAATTACAGACCTCTGTCATTGTTTTTTTAACTTGCACAATCGGTGGCTGACTAAATACTTTTTTGCCCCACTGTATACACAACGCTGAAGGCACAGAGCAATGAAAGAGAATTAGTTATTGTCCTCTGCCTTCATCCCGCTCCATAATCTGTTTTCCCAGCATCCTGTTTTTTTTCTTCTTCCTTGTAAACACTCAAGTCCTAAATGTTTCTTTACGCTACAAAGCCAATGTCATTTTCTCCTGCTTTTATCTCTCATCAGCTGGAACCTCTTTGTGTTCTTTCACTATCTGTATAGCTCATTTTGTACATTTTCTTCTTTTATGTAGGAAGTGGGAATCAGTGGTTTTAATGTTTTTTGAATTGTTTATGGAAGCTGCAGTGATGGAGTCATTTCCCTTGTGGATTAATGAAGTAGTAGTAAAACAGCTCTGTCATGTGATTGCACAGGTTGGTGACTTTAGAGAACAGCCCTGCACTTACCCCGGAGCTACTCAGAATCTTCCAGAACATGCCTGCTCTTCTAGGTGAGCGTACACACCTCTCTTACCTTTTGTTTGGCTCTTCTAGCTGTAAGCTTTGTCCATGTGACGCTAATAATAATGGTAGAACATTGTAGAGGCTTGCTCATTTGGCCACCCATCATGATCTGCTCTCCTTCAATACTCTGATATTTGACTTCATGGAAAGTTGATCATCCCAATATTAATTAATATGTGGTGACTGATTGACAAGCATCATTTTGGTCGATCAAAATTAGTGATTTGTCAGTATCAGAAACCAGATATGTCAGTTTTCTAAATCTTGAAATCGATCCATCATTCCCCTATCCATAAAATAAATGTTTGACTTTTTTGTCTAAAAAGTAAATGGATCTTTATTTTGTCCAGTTTTTACTTAGGGCTGCACAATATATCAAAGAGATATTGTCATTGCGATATTTGTACGTCGGATATCCATATTGAAAAGATGGGTGATCATTTGGATATATTTATGTATGCATTTCTTGTACGGGCACTGTGACAAATCTGTTGCGACCTAGTGCAGCCACACGCTAGAGTGGAGCACGCGAGAGTATCTTGCTCCCAAAAGTCACTTTACCTCTGGAAATTGGGACTACTTCAGATTTACAAGACAGGACTGTGTATTTACAATCTCCAACTCCACAGCCTGCTCCGGTCAATCAAAAGGCAAATGATCAAACAAATATCAATGACAGTTTTGCTTCTGTTGATCCTTTTGAAGCAACACAAAGCTTTAACTGCAGCATTTTGATCATATATATAGCAACTTTAGGCAAGATTTGAGGTTAAAATGTGTGCCATACTGCATTTGAATGTCTCTAATGTTGTGTATTTTATTTTTTTGATTTTTTTTCCTTCATGTACGTGCAGAGTGCATTTTTAGGTGACAAACTAAAATATTGCTATAATATTGTCATCGAAATACTAAACACCCATATCGAATATTGCTCTAATCGCCAATATTGTGCTGTCCTAGTTTTAATTTAATTTTCTGTAAATGATTGTATTGCCCTAAAACACAACAGCAGTCAACACAGACAATTTATAAAGTTGTCAATTCGTCAAGAACGGATCATTTAAAACACAGAAATGTAGAAATAACAAACCCATAGGAGCCATTAGTCCATAACCAATTCATGTACATACTTCTGCCATATTTACATTATTGTGTGTGCAAGTACGCATGACTTGAAAAAACTAAGGCTACATGATGTGCAACATAAAGCTCTTGCTCTATGCCACTTTGAAACAATGGAATGATTGAAGTAGGAATGAAAGTTGAATGAATGTATGGACAAATTCCACAGCAGGAGCGGTGAACTGTCGCCTGGCCTGTGCAGATTACAGATGTGGCCGTCGAGCCTCTCCTGAGCTCACAGGCTGCTGTGACTGTTGGCAGATTGAATGGAAGTGCTTGGGTGATTTACCACAGGCGCGAGGGACAGATGGCCTGCTGGAGGTGTGTGTGCATGTGGGGAGAGGGAGCGGGAGGCTATTGATTTGGTGCTTAGCTCATAACAAGTCAGTTGGGCTATTATGAACATGACCGATTGGGTGCAGTTTGAACTAAACCGACTTCAGCAGACAGTAAATGTAGGAAACATAACTTAATGAACAGCAATTAAATGAACTTTAGAAGAGAAAATACAGTGGAAACGGGGGGTAAAAACTCATCATAAGGTCTTGAACAAAAAGGGGTACAAACATCAAAAGGGAAAAGGTTCAGCGCCTCACTTGATGGTAATAGAAATTAGTTCTGTCAAACAATTAAAATATTTAATTGCATATTTTTTGCCACACAGTGACACTACTTTCAGGCATAATACATACTTGCATTAATCACTTGATTAAAAAAAGTATTCTGTTAAAATGGGTTTGCGTTAAGTCGTTTGTAGAGTGACCAAATAGTACTGATATAATTTTGAGTAATACTAATAACTAACACTTTCTGTGTCACAGGGGCATATACTTCACTATTGCTTGAAACAAATGTATTACAAAACACATGTATTGTGTTCTTTCTGATTTCTTTCCCCAACACAGAAATTGCAGTTACTACATTACTTTTGTGCATGTTTGCATACTACAGTGTAAAAAAAACTGCTAATCGTGTGAGTTCTTATATTGTTATAATTCTAGTAATCATGCAATGCATTCATAAGAAAATATATGTATAATGAGTATGTTAATGCCTTCACTTTTAAATAGTTAATACAGATGGGTGATTTATGTTTCATGAAATTATAGTTGAATTTTTATTTGTTTATAAGGCCAAGGCTGTCACATGCACAGCCTAAAGCCTGGTTTAAGTGGGCCAAGGCCCACTTTGCGATTAGATCTGTGCTTTAAGTGCTATGTGACCGCGGCAAGTGGGCTTGGGCACGATTGCCTCATCCGCGCCCAGGCACGCTTGAAGACTTGAGCCAGGGCCTGCTTTGTAAAGCCCAAATGAGGGGGGTCAGTGTGGCGGGTGGCGGGGAGTGGGGGATGAGGTGTGGTCGGGACTTGATATTGGGCGTCACATTTATTTATTTATTTATTTATTTATTTGGAGGATAAGCCCCTAGAGATGAAACATCTCGTTTTCGAGGGGGTCCTCAAAAAGGTAACAGAGGTGACAGATACAATGCAATACAATAAAGTAAACAATAAAGACAAAGGACAAAAAGCAACAATAAACAATACTCACACAAAACAAACTCACACACACACACACCATGACTGTTGTAAATATATTTGATGCAGACAATAAATAGCGAAAATACTAAACTTATTAATATTAAAGGCAGTAAACATAGGATTATGTAACCCAAAATCAAAAACAATGACACTGATTTTGGAGATTTCGCACAAGAGCATTCTTAAACTGAGCCAGAGAACTGAGAGAGCGAACAGGTGAGGGCAAACTGTTCCAATCAGACGGTGCTTTAAATTTAACTGCATGTTTCCCGACTTCCTTTTTTCAATCTTGGGACTGAAAAAAAGGACTGATTTGCATGACGCAAACTGTAGGAGGATTGAAAAGGAATCAAATATTGTTTTAAATAGTCAGGAAAACTAAGATTAATGCATTTAAAAATAAATAATAGCCAATGTAGCTGACGTCTGGAGGACAGAGAGAGCCAGGAAAGCTGCTCGTACATAAGGCAGTGGTGCGTTCTAAAGGGACAACGGAGAATGAACCTGCACAGGCTGTGGTAGGTGACGTTGAGGGGCTGGAGGACAGAGGCAGTAGTGTTTTGATAAATTATATCACTGTAATCAAGAATAGGTAAAATCAGTTGACAAATGATCCTCTTCCTAACAGATAAACTAAAACAGTTCAATGAATGGTAAAGTACTTTTAGTCTATATGACATTTTGTTTGTGATTGTTTGTATATGAATGTTAAATGATAGAGAAGGATCAAGCCACAAACCAAGATATTTAAATTTATCAACGACTGGAACTGGACACATGTCTGAAAAAGTAAGCTGAATTTTGTTAGAGAAAATAGGATGCATTTTTTTCTGGAACAACATGACAACTGTTTTTGATTTGTTCAGTAATAATTTGTTAGATTTTAGCCAGTGTTGAACAGAATTAAAGTCATGTTGGATAGATTGTTGAATATTGATGATGTTATCATTGGATGTGTAAATCACTATCATCTGCATAAAGTTGAATGCTACAGTCTGTACAGGCAAGGGGAAGGTCATTAATAAAAATGGAGAAAAGAAGTGGACCCAGTGACGAACCTTGTGGCACACCTCTCTCGATAAAAGAAAAACCAGAGTAGCTACCATTGTAAAAGACACATTGTTGACGGTGATGTAGATAGGAATTGAACCAGAGGAGTGAGGATCTGTCCAGACCAATACAGTGAAGTTTGTCTAAAAGAAGATAATGGTCAACCATATCAAAGGCTTTTGATAAGTCTATAAATAAAGCACCAGTAAAAAAATGTCTTCCGTTGTGACGGGCATTTTCACACACATCTCTCCCTGCACTTTTGTATTCTCTGCTTGTATTAAACCTTTCATATAAGCCCCGGACCGTGGTCAAGGGGCGCTGGGGGGTGTGTCGCTCCAGGGCCAAAAAAAAGTTTTTCCTACAAGAATAACTCCCTCTGTTCTGACCCTCGCTCTCAGTGTGGTGCTATTGCAATAAGACCTCAGACATTCAAGTATCAGTCTTTATTTAATCTCCAGAACACACACACACACTTGTAACCTCCCTGTCTGCGGTCGCTCTGCTCGTACGCAACTCTTTTCATTCTTTCATTCTCATTCCTTCATTTCTCTTACGCCCGTCACTAAAGAGTGTGTGAGTGTGTGTGTGTGTGTGCACTTGTGTCCGCGGCGGGCGCACACCCACCCACACACACACACGTTACCCACTGAACTGCTCTACTTTGCATGAGAGCAATGTGAACAAGTGTGAGATGTGTCTTTCCCTATACAGCGTGATCCGTACTGAGGTGTTGGCTACAGTAGCTTAGCGTAAACAGGAAAAGAAGCAGAAACTCAACCAGGACAATGAGGTAGTCGCTGGATTTAATATTAGCGTCACCAGCTGGATCGAGTGTTGTACTACAACACAGTTTCTCTGTCACGTTTGCGAATACACGTTCATGTGACCACGGGCCGTTTTCACACCCCCATGACGACGATCCGGGCCACTTGGCCTAGTTCGTTTGTAAAAACCTATGTGACCGTGCCTTAATTCTTTGGCTCAGTTGTCACGGTTCAATTGATAGACCAACAGTATGCCAATACCTTTAGTGAAAGCTGGACACAAACACTTTTTTTCTTACTAAGTTTAGAAGTTTAGAATTCAAGGCCAACCTTCATCTCTGACAGTTTTCACACAAACATGTGGCAGTTCATTTGTTTAGTCCGTGGAGAGAGATGGAGGGATGCGAATCATTTAGAGTCTCTGGCTGGCTTTAGTGTCAGACTGCCATGTGGCCTGGGTTGCCTGATAAAGGAACACGCTCCATCACTCCAAACTAGAGCAGCAAA